GATGCCCTTTATTATGTTGAGAAATTTCCCTTCTATACCTATTTTATTGAGAGTTTTTATCAGGAATGGGTGTTGGACTTTGTTAAATGCATTTTCTGCATCAATTAAGATGATCATGTGATTCTTTGATTTACTTTTATTTATGTGGTGGAGTTGATCCTTCTAGAAGACCCTGCAGATCCCCAGGAAGTGAGGCAGGATGGGCTGAGTCCGGAAGGGCCAGGAATGTCAGGTCTGCGTTTGCTCCTCTCAGTGGTCAGCCAAGGGGGTGGGACTGGGTTGAGGGTGGTGCTGCGGGCTGGTGAGCTTTCTAAAGTGTTTGTCCTGAGCTGCTCCGAGGTTGTGGCTTTCGGTTTCCTTTTCGAATTCGCGAGTGTAACTGGAGACGCAGAGAATGTGCCGGGTGACTGCACAAATACTCAGGCCCTCAGGCAGGTGTTTGGTGCACGCACCTAAGAACAGCCAGATCTTATTCAAATTTCGAAAGGGGCTGATTCTTTGGTAAGTTGGGGGCAGGGTGAGAGGGGGAGGGTTATGACCTACCATCCCATTCTTAGAACGACTGTGTAAGAAAAGGATTATCGTCATCCTTTTTTAGAGGAGGAAAAATCAAACCTTAGAGAGGCTAGGTAATGGGTCCGAGGTCACAGAGCTAAGTTGTATCAGCCTCCGAATTTGAATGAAGATTTGTCTGCCCTCTCCCTCCCTCTGTGCCCGTGAGCAGTGGTGTGTGGAGGATAGCTCAGATGGGGTTACAATGCTCCCCTAGGCTCAGCATGGGTTCCAAGCTGCCTGAGACTTGGCCAGCTGACCAGAGAAGGTAGGTGCTGGTGTGTCTGACTCTTTGGGCACTTCTGAGGAAGCAGAGGAGGAGGAGAAGGAGTGGTGCTGCTGAGGCCTGATGGGGGCAAAGGACATCTTTGGAGGTACAAGGAATCCAGAGGTTGTTCTACCTACCCTGTCTGAGAACCTGCTCTGTGCCTGGCTCTTTGGGGGGAAACTGAGGCCCTGAGAGGGCAGTGAGTGGGCCAGAGTGCCTTGCCCACACGAAGAGAGGCCGAGCAGATAGATAGCAGGTCTCCAGCCCCTGCACTCCACCAGCCTCCTGTTCAGGACTGCCGGATGTTGGGAAAAGAGAGAGGAAGTCCTGTGTGTCCGGAATGAAAAGATGGCACAGACATAGGGAGTTAGGAGGGCACGTTGTGGAATGGTATCCACATCGCCATCCCGGCTTTGTGATCTTAAAATAAAAGACCAAACTGCATATGTGTGAGCATAACCTTTGGAGTGTGTGCTTAGATCTGTGTGTTTGTAGAAGCAGAGACAAACCTGGAAGGCACAGACCAAGCTGTTACCAGAGGTAACGATGTCTGTGGGGACAGAATAGAGTTTCACTTCTTACTTTAATAATTTTTGTCTTAAATCCCAGAGTCAGAAGGCCTGGTACTGGCCTCCACTCAGCCCCCCAAGAGCTGTGAGAGCCTGGGCAAATCACTTTCCCTCTCTGGGCCTCAGTTCGTCAGCTGATAAATGGGGTTAGAGTTCTCTGCTCTGCTGACCCCATGGCTGACTTCTGGCAATGCCTGGGCAGTGGGAGTGAGGGGGAAGTAGGGGTTGTGGGGAACTGGGGTGAACTGGAAGCACCCTCAGATACAGATGAGAATTGCTGGGTGAAGTGTGGGCCTAATTTACCAGGTCTCTCATTTTAAGAGATTCCCAGAATTACAGATTTTTTGGTGTAAAGTTTCTAAGTTGAAATCTTGAAACCAAATAAAAAAATTTAAACTTTGCATATGGCCCCCTTCTACTTCCCCTCTCCCTCCCCCGCTTCCTCTCTTGCTCCTCTTCTCCCGCCTACACCCCACTGGGTGGACCTAGCTCTGTGGAGGGTTACATTTTCACTTTCTGTTACAGGCTACTCCCAGTTTCCACCTTCCCTTGAGTTGACACTGACTTAGGGCAACCCCATGTGTGTCAGAGTAGAACTGTGCTCCATAGGGTTTTCAATGGATGATTTTTCAGATGTAGGTCACCAGGCATTTCTTTGCAGGCATCTCTGTGTCAACTTGAACTTCCAACCTTTCTGTCACCAGCTGAGTGTTTAACCATTCGTGCACCCCAGGGACTCTTACAGGCTACTGATGGTATCTTATTATATGCTGCTGCTTCTTCCTCCTCACTCTTTTTAATGGCTCCAGAGTATTCCCTAGTATGAATGGACCCTAATGGACCTATCTGCTCCCTTGTTGTGTGTCATCTAGCTGACTCCGACTCACAGCGACCCTATATAACAGAATAGAAGCGCCCCATAGGGTTTCCTAGGCTGTAATCTTTAGGGAAACAGACTGCCACATCTTTTTTCCCGCAGAGTGGCTGGTGGGTTTGAACCACCACCCTTTAGGGTAGCAGCCCAGTGCTTAAGCATTGTGCCACCAGGGCTACGCATCTACTCCCTTAGGAATGGACATTTAGTTATTTCCCCCTCTTTTGGTGCTAAATACAGCGCTGCACTAAACATCTTAAAACCCATGTGCTTGCACACTTAGCCTGTTGTCTCTGTTGCTTAGAGACATAGGAGTGGTTGCTGGGGCAGAGAATAGGCACATGTTAAGATTTGTGGGCGTTGCTAGGTTATCCTCCAAAACTCTGAAACCTTTTACACTCCTGTCTATGGGGAATGAGGGAGTGCTGCCCACCTCCTCGCCAACTGATTATCATGTGTCCTTTTAGGTTTCAAAAGTGTGTCTCTTTTTATTAACTTGCATCTTTTGAATTTCCAGTGAAAATGAGTATCTATTCATATGTTCAGTGTTCATTTGTGCTTCTTCTTCCGGGAATTATCAGTTTATATCTCTTATCTACTTTTTAAAAATTGGTTTCTGTCTTTGCATGTTGATTTGCGGGATCTTCGCGTCGAGTGGATATTCACCTTTTGCCTACTATGAGCATTGCCACTGTTGTCTCCTGGTTTATTGTAATCCTTCTTTGTGGTGTTCTTTGCAATTTTTATTTTGAAGAGCTCAGATCTGTCACATTTCCCTTTATGGATTCTGGAATTTGGGCCTTGATTAGAAAGATTTCTCCAACTGAACATTAAGTTTATTCTTTCTTCCAGTATGTTTGTAAGTTTTTTCTTTCTGATTTACATTTTGATCTTCCATCCTTTAAAAAAATTTTTTTTTATTGTTGTAGTTTAAATGAAGTTTACATTTCAGGTTAGTCTCCCATGCAAAAATTTATACATACATTGTTACGTGACCCTAATTGCTCTCCTCATACTGTGACAGCACACTCCTCTTTTCCACCCCTGATTTCCCATGTCCATTCAACCAGCTCCTAACCCTCTCTGCCTTCCCGTCTCACCTCTGGACGGAAGCTGCCTATTTAGTCTCTTGTATCTACTTGAGCTAAGAGGCACACTCCTCACGGGTATCACTTTATGTACCACAGTCCAATCCAATCGCTGTCTGAAGAGTTGGCCTCAGAAATTGTTTTAGTTCTGGGCTGATAGAGAATCTGGGGGCTATGCTTTCTGAGGTTCCTCCAGTCTCAGTCAGACCATTAAGTCTGTTCTTCTTTCTAGAATTTGAGTTCTGCACCCCACCTTTCTCTTGCTCCATCAGGGACTCTGTTGTGTTCCCTGTCAGGGCGGTCATTGGTGGTAGCCGGGCACCATCTAGTTCTTCTGGTCTCAGGCTAATGAAGTCTCTGGTTTATGTGGCCCTTTCTGTCTCTTGGGCTAATACTTTCCTTGTGTCTTTAGTGTTCTTCATTCTCCTTTACTCCAGGTGGTTGGGACCAATTGATGCATTTTAGATAGCCGCTTGCAAGCTTTTAAGACTCCAGATGCCACTCACTGAAGTAGGATGCAGAACATTTTCTTAATAAGCTTTGTTATGCCAATTGACCTAGATGTCCCCTTAAAGCATAGTCCCCAGATTCCTACCCCTGCTACTCTGTCCCTCAAAGTGTTTGATTTTATTCAGGAAACTTCTTAGCTTTGGTTTAGTCCAGTTGTGCTGACTTCCCCTGTAGTGTGTGCTGTCCTTCCCTTCACCTAAGATCATTCTTGTCTACTGTCTAGTTAGTGAATAACCCTCACCCTCCCTCCCCACCCTCGTAACCATCAAAGAATGTTGTCTTCTGTGTTTAAACCTTTTCTTGAGTTCTTATAATAGTGGTCTTATACAGTATTTGTCCTTCTGTGACTTAGTAAATTCACTCAGCATAATGCCCTCCAGATTCCTCCATAAGATGTTGCACGGCTTCATCATTGTTGTTTATCATTGCATAGTATTCCGTTGTGTGGATATACCATAATTTGTTTATCCATTTGTTGGTTGATGGGCACCTAGGTTGTTTCCATCTTTTTGCTATTGTGAACAGTGCTGCAGTGAACATGGGTGTGCATGTATCTATTCGTGTGATGGCTCTTATTTCTCTAGGATATATTCCAAGGAGCAGGATAGCTGGCTAGTATGGTACTTCTATTTCTAGCTTTTTAAGGAAGTGCCAAATCGATTTTCAAGGTGGTTGTACCATTGTACATCTCCACCAAAAGTGTATAAGTGTTCCAGTCTCTCTACAACCTCTCCAGCATTTATTATTTTGTGTTTTTTGGATTAATGCTAGCCTCATTGGGGTGAGAGGATATCTCATTGTAGTTTTGATATGCATTTCTCTAATGGTTAATGACCGTGAGCATTTCTTCATGTGTCTGTTAGCCTCCTGAATATCTTCTTTGGCCAAGTGCCTGTTCATATCTTCTGCCATTTTTTAATTGGGTTATTTGTCTTTTTGTTGTTGCGGTTTTGCAGGATCTTGTAGATTTTAGAGATTAGACTCTGACTGGATTTGTCACAGACAAAAATTCTTTCCCAGTCTATAGGTTGTTTTTTCACTCTTCTGGTGAAGTCTTTTGATGAGCATAAGTGTTTGATTTTTAGGAGCTCCCAGTTATCTAGCCTCTCTTCTGGTGCTTGTGCATTGTTACTTATAGTTTGTATTGTGTTTATGTCATGTGTTAGGGGTCCTAGCATTGTCCCTATTTTTTCTTCCATGATATTTATTGTTTTTGATTTTATATTTAAGTGTTTGATCCATTTTGAGTTAGTTTTTGTGCATGGTGTGAGGTATGGGTCTTGTTTCAGTTTTTTGCAGATGGATATTCAGTTATGCCAGCACCATTTGTTAAAGAGTCTATCTTTTCCCCAGTTATCGGACTTTGGGCCTTTGTCAAATATCAGCTGTTCATAGGTGGATGAATTTACATCTGGATTCTCAATTCTGTTCCATTGGTCTATGTATCTGTTGATGTACCAGTACCAGGCTGTTTTGACTACCGTGGTGGTATAATAGGTTCTAAAATCAGGTAGTGTGAGTTCTCCCAGTTTGTTCTTCTTCTTCAGTAATGCTTTACTTATTTGGGGCCTCTTCCCTTTCCAAGTGAAGTTGGTGATTTGTTTCTCTATCTCATTAAAAAATGCCATTGGAATTTGGATCAGGATTGCATTGTATCTGAAGATCGCTTTGGGTAGAAATGACATTTTCACAGTGTTGAGTCTTCCTATCCATGAGCAAGGTATGTTTTTCCACTTATGCAGGT